AAGGCTGCAGTCTATAGATAGCGAGGTAGATGGTGTACAGTCAACATGAGCCCCACTACACGTAAAAACATCCAACATCTAGTGTAGAGGAGTGTGGGAAGGCTGCAGTCTATAGATAGCGAGGTAGATGGTGTACAGTCAACATGAGCCACACTAAACGTAAAAACATCCAACATCTAGTGTAGAGGAGTGTTGGAAGGCTGCAGTCTATAGATAGCGAGGTAGATGGTGTACAGTCAACATGAGCCCCACTACACGTAAAAACATCCAACATCTAGTGTAGAGGAGTGTGGGAAGGCTGCAGTCTATAGATAGCGAGGTAGATGGTGTACAGTCAACATGAGCCCCACTAAACGTAAAGAACATCCAACATCTAGTGTAGAGGAGTGTGGGAAGGCTGCAGTCTATAGATAGCGAGGTAGATGGTGTACAGTCAATATGAGCACCACTAAAGGAAAAGAACATCCAACATCTAGTGTAGAGGAGTGTGGGAAGGCTGCAGTCTATAGATAGCGAGGTAGATGGTGAACAGTCAATATGAGCACCACTAAAGGAAAAGAACATCCAACATCTAGTGTAGAGGAGTGTGGGAAGGCTGCAGTCTATAGATAGCGAGGTAGATGGTGTACAGTCAATATGAGCACCACTAAAGGAAAAGAACATCCAACATCTAGTGTAGAGGAGTGTAGGAAGGCTGCAGTCTATAGATAGCGAGGTAGATGGTGTACAGTCAACATGAGCCCCACTAAACGTGAAGAACATCCAACATCTAGTGTAGAGGAGTGTGGGAAGGCTGCAGTCTATAGATAGCGAGGTAGATGGTGTACAGTCAACATGAGCCCCACTAAACGTGAAGAACATCCAACATCTAGTGTAGAGGAGTGTAGGAAGGCTGCAGTCTATAGATAGCGAGGTAGATGGTGTACAGTCAACATGAGCCCCACTAAACGTGAAGAACATCCAACATCTAGTGTAGAGGAGTGTAGGAAGGCTGCAGTCTATAGATAGCGAGGTAGATGGTGTACAGTCAACATGAGCCCCACTAAACGTGAAGAACATCCAACATCTAGTGTAGAGGAGTGTGGGAAGGCTGCAGTCTATAGATAGCGAGGTAGATGGTGTACAGTCAACATGAGCCCCACTAAACGTGAAGAACATCCAACATCTAGTGTAGAGGAGTGTAGGAAGGCTGCAGTCTATAGATAGCGAGGTAGATGGTGTACAGTCAACATGAGCCCCACTAAACGTGAAGAACATCCAACATCTAGTGTAGAGGAGTGTGGGAAGGCTGCAGTCTATAGATAGCGAGGTAGATGGTGTACAGTCAATATGAGCCCCACTAAACGTGAAGAACATCCAACATCTAGTGTAGAGGAGTGTAGGAAGGCTGCAGTCTATAGATAGCGAGGTAGATGGTGTACAGTCAACATGAGCCCCACTAAACGTGAAGAACATCCAACATCTAGTGTAGAGGAGTGTAGGAAGGCTGCAGTCTATAGATAGCGAGGTAGATGGTGTACAGTCAACATGAGCCCCACTAAACGTGAAGAACATCCAACATCTAGTGTAGAGGAGTGTGGGAAGGCTGCAGTCTATAGATAGCGAGGTAGATGGTGTACAGTCAATATGAGCCCCACTAAACGTGAAGAACATCCAACATCTAGTGTAGAGGAGTGTAGGAAGGCTGCAGTCTATAGATAGCGAGGTAGATGGTGTACAGTCAACATGAGCCCCACTAAACGTGAAGAACATCCAACATCTAGTGTAGAGGAGTGTGGGAAGGCTGCAGTCTATAGATAGCGAGGTAGATGGTGTACAGTCAACATGAGCCCCACTAAACGTGAAGAACATCCAACATCTAGTGTAGAGGAGTGTGGGAAGGCTGCAGTCTATAGATAGCGAGGTAGATGGTGTACAGTCAATATGAGCACCACTAAACGTAAAGAACATCCAACATCTAGTGTAGAGGAGTGTAGTAAGGCTGCAGTCTATAGATAGCGAGGTAGATGGTGTACAGTCAATATGAGCACCACTAAACGTAAAGAACATCCAACATCTAGTGTAGAGGAGTGTAGGAAGGCTGCAGTCTATAGATAGCGAGGTAGATGGTGTACAGTCAACATGAGCCCCACTAAACGTGAAGAACATCCAACATCTAGTGTAGAGGAGTGTAGGAAGGCTGCAGTCTATAGATAGCGAGGTAGATGGTGTACAGTCAACATGAGCCCCACTAAACGTGAAGAACATCCAACATCTAGTGTAGAGGAGTGTGGGAAGGCTGCAGTCTATAGATTGCGAGGTAGATGGTGTACAGTCAATATGAGCCCCACTAAACGTGAAGAACATCCAACATCTAGTGTAGAGGAGTGTAGGAAGGCTGCAGTCTATAGATAGCAAGGTAGATGGTGTACAGTCAACATGAGCCCCACTAAACGTGAAGAACATCCAACATCTAGTGTAGAGGAGTGTGGGAAGGCTGCAGTCTATAGATAGCGAGGTAGATGGTGTACAGTCAACATGAGCCCCACTAAACGTGAAGAACATCCAACATCTAGTGTAGAGGAGTGTGGGAAGGCTGCAGTCTATAGATAGCGAGGTAGATGGTGTACAGTCAATATGAGCACCACTAAACGTAAAGAACATCCAACATCTAGTGTAGAGGAGTGTAGGAAGGCTGCAGTCTATAGATAGCGAGGTAGAAGGTGTACAGTCAATATGTCTGATTAAACACCTACCATTTTTGAGGAGAACATCAACAATGACATCAATAGGAGATCTGTTACCAAAGTACTTAGAGTGATTGGCTACAAGCAAATTGATTGTTGATTAAATATTTTTGATCGATTTTAATAACCAGTAACTGGTTAACAAACAGTAACAAATTTGATCTAATCGTTCCATTTTGAAAATAGTTTGATGTTTTGATATTGAATAAATAAATAAATTAGTCAATATAATAATTTAAACCCCAATCTACTAATATTGCACATCAATAAAAAACTATATCATCATACTAAAAGAGTTAATTAATGTACTATAAGAATTATTAATTTTACCAAATTTACTAGAAAAAAATCAAATTAAGAATGGAATGTGTATTATAGAATTCTAATAACTTTTTAACACCAATGATATTCCACCATTTATTACGTAACTTTATGTTACTTTTAAATTCATAAAACGTACGTAATTTTCTAAACGTTTACTTCACGTGAATGTCTCATTTTGTTCATGATGAACGGTTACAATTTGTTCATTTAAGTCAGTAAATGTAACCATGGGAAAATTTCAAACTGTGAACTTAGTGCTTATCTTTTTAACAAATTGTCATAATGTTGTATGTCCCTATGCAATTCTATATGTTCACATTGTTGAGTGAATACATTTTAGGGACCAGAATATTACCCTACATCCTTAATGTTTTGGGATGGCTGTGTGATTATTGTGTTATAGTTAGGATGCATGAACTAACCGGGATCAAACTTTATGAGAGCAATGTTTCGGACGTTTTAAAAGGGAATCAATTGTTTAGAGCACCTATTTGTTTTAACAGTTGAATCGTCGCTCATTGGAGAGAACAGACCCACGCGGTTTAAGGGAATTCAGCTTCAGGAGTTACGTCCTCGAAATAGAAGTGTAATTAGATTTCGACTCTACCCGCCATTCCCACTTTAGGATGGGATTGAATTTCTAGTTTCTGGGTTGGAAAATCGTTACTCTTTTGCTATTATATATAACCATTTAAAAGAATCAGTTTAACTTCAGTGATTATTTAATTGTTTTTTTATACCTTGAACAGGAATTTGTACGTGTATGGATTATTTATCAGAATTTATAAATAAAATGGATTGTTTGTTTGAACAGAGATAATATTTTGCTTAGGGGTTTGCAGGTGTTTGCACCAAAAGCCCCTATAAAGTTCTAACATACTTGGGTAATGACTAGCAGGGGCAGTTTCAATCAATTATATTGGCAGTAAACACACACAATTTATTTTATGTAGGCACAGTCGTCACAGTGTATAGCTATTTGGTAGGATTTACAAGGACTTTACTTAAAACTTGATTATCACACGTACCGTACTTAATTTATTGATACTGTAGTTAATACTAAGTAAAAAAACTAGTGATTGAATTAATTAATTATCCATGTTTGTTGTATATTGTATGATTCTTTGGAATCGGAAATACAAGTATGTTGTTAGTACACTAATAAAATAACTTTAATTTTATGAACCTACCAAAGAATAAAATAAAAAAAACAAAAAAACAGAAAGATTATGATTTTTGTTCAAAATTTATCTCTAAAGCAATTTTTGATCAATGCTATTATTTTAGATCAATTCATTTCCAAAGTTATATTTACAAATAAAAAATCATAATGCAGTTTTGAAAATAGGATTTCTTCTGATTTTAATAACGTTCCTTTTTTAAACTTATACTTTTGCTATAGTCATTTTTTGTTTTGAGAGACAGTTCATCATCTTTATATCATATGAAAAATGTAATATAATTTACAACAATTATTGTCATGATCTAAACATACATTACATCATGATCTATACATACAATATGTCATGAGTGTCAAAGTGTTGAAACTAATCATAATAAAAATTTGTTTAAAAAGGGTTGTGAACGATGTGTTGATAAAAGTAACTGACTTTGTTCGATCTAACGTAAACTTTTGTGTAGCATCATTAATTTATACAGTACATAAAATATAATATCTTAACGGCAGATGGCATCTGGGTCCAGAAACAAGACCGCTTGGGTGTGAACGAGCAATCTTCATATGGAGGTATTTACTATAATTAGATGGCTACCCAGATTTCATAACTAAAACCAAACTTAGAAAATAAACATATACCTGGACTTATTACTATATATCCAATAGCATGGCGTGAATTCGAATTAGTTTTAAATAATACAAATTTTCACTAAATAATCAAAATAGTTACGATAGCTTAGCTAAGGAAGTCAGACTCTAATAAAACCATAGCAACACTAAAACCGCAAATTTTTCCGTTATCAAAATTTTAGTTTACAACCATCCAAATCTTTTGTATTATTCTCACAACCCTCACACAAACGCACCCCGATGTCTCTCAAGGTTGAGCTGGAAGCTGATAAGCACACGCAGCATGTGGCGGAGTTTATCAAAGACAGACTCTACTTCGCCACGTTCCGCAACAAGACACACAGGAACACTACCGGGGTACATTACTTCACTGTCGACGACGAGCTTGTCTACAACAACTACTATGGCGACTTTGGCCCTCTTAGTCTTTCATCTGTGGTCAGGTAACTCTTCTATAGACTACATGGTTCTTGGATTTATAACATTTCATAGATACTGCTGTCCAGGTCTAATTCACTGATGCAACATTTTAAAATTATTCAAAATAGTTGGACAAATATGCAGCATAGAACATGGAAGGACAGTTCAAATTTAAATTTTACACTCACACTCGTAGTTATAAGAATTGAATCGTAGTAACAAATAGATTACCATTAGATGAATATACAAAACTGACAAATATGCCTGTCTCTGTTTCTGTCCTGTTTTTCTGCTTTTGTAACAGTTTAAAGATAGAACAAACACTCAAATTTGGACCAACTTCAACTTTTTGTTGGCTAAAAATATAAGAAATCACATTAGGCATTGCTTTAACTGAAAAAAGTTTATGTGTAATACAATCTATCAAAATACTCTTTAATAGTTATGTAGTTGTATCAGTAATTGCTACTAACAGTAATTGCATCATTAAACATCATTGCCGTTAAACATCATTTTGCATTTTTATTTTAAACATTCAAACATGTTTATTTGTTTGAAATATTTCAATGCAATTCATTTCACAGTTCCCTTAGGGAATGTCGAACTCATTTTCTAATGCAAATTGAAAATGTGATATTCCTTATTTTTAACTGCATGAGATAAAGAAATAATAAGTTGAGTTGAGATTCTTCTTTTAAATGTATCATACTAACCTCTTTTTTATTTTAGCATGTCATGTACGATTATTGTTAAAAATGAGTTATTTGTCCCCGAATTTCTGCAATTGCAACATAATAATCGTTTGAGTACTGTTCAGTCTTAATACCACATAGACTACATATTATTGAATTTTTTTTTAGATTTTTAAACAAAGTAAACTTCAAGCTGAAATCACCAAGTCTGGCGAGTAAGATCCTGGTGCAATACACCTCCCCCAACGAGAAGAAGCGTGCGAATGCTGCGTTCCTGATGGCTGTGTACGCGATAGTACACCTCGACATGAGTCCTCTGGAGGCGTACAGTAGACTGTCCTCTACCAAACATCCCTTCCTGTCCTTCCAGGTGATATGCCTCTTTAGTAGGCCTATATTTAAATATTGATCTGGTCACAAAACGTTAAACCAGAGAGTTAATCCTAGCACTGCTTGGGGTAAAAGCTCAAAAAAGAAAGGAAGTTATTTCATTAAACAATAAATATTACTTAATTTTTGTGGGTCTTTTCCGTCGCGATAAAAAAACAGAGTTTTGAAGTTTCAAAATAGCTTTTATGAAAAATCACACAACTTCATCATGTGTTAGTTTTTACTTGTGCGTTTGAAATCCCAACCAAACTAAACTTTGGTTTTTGAACGTCATATTGAAATCCTAATGAAAAGCTCAAGTTAATTACATCAAATATCATCCCGGTAAGTTTTGGTTCCTGAGACATATTTTAAATTTAAAGGGATATTTTTTGGCAATGTTTTTCATACCATAAATTCTTCAAATTTTCAGGACGCAACAGTTGGAGATTCAAAGTACAGGATTCGATTGATAGACTGCCTCAACGCAGTTCGTAAAGCCATCTATTTCGGTATCGTAAACTTTAACGACTTCAACCTTGACGAGTATGAGAAGATGGACAACGTAAAGAACGGCGATGTCAGCTGGATAGTGCCGCAGAAATTCCTGGCCTTCTCCGGTCCTGTAGACAAACCAACGGAGGACTGTTACCACGCGCCTGAATACTACATCAACTACTTCCGGGACAACAACGTCAAAACTGTCATCCGGCTCAACGTCAAGATGTACAACGCCTTGTCGTGAGTTATTTTGTCTACCTATATGTTTGTGAAATTAAGTTGTCTTAAAAATCTAATTTATGTTGTCTTAAGCTAATCATGGTGATCAACAGTTTTCCATAAAGAATTTAAGCCTTCATCACCTAATCTGTCTCCAGGTTCACCAACGCGGGCCTAGCACATTATGACCTGTACTTTGTCGATGGCAGTGTTCCTTCCCACGACATCCTACAACGTTTCTTCGACATTTCAGAGAATACAGCTGGGGCTGTAGCAGTCCATTGTAAGGTGGGTAAACACAGTACACAAAAGGCATATGTAGCGTTGGGTTTTTTAAATTGTTACGTTATTTCAATTTTATATAATTTTCAATTTATTTTCGTTGAGGTGGCGTCAACGATAGATGATGGATCGTGTGATCAATGATATTCGACTGTTTCTTTGAGGGGTAAATGTTTATTTACCTCGTATCTTAATATATAGAACAAAAACCATGAAAACGCTACACGATGAGTGCCATCACAGTGGAAGATTTCTGTCCACACTCCTCGTTTGACCTATAATGACGAAAACATTTAGAACATCATCCAAAGTGACTCTAATCCTTCCCCCATTAGGTATAGAAATCCTACAGAAGTACATCACTTAGACTTATGGGTCACGTCATTGTATTCCAAGGAATATGTTAGCTACATCTTGCTTATTGGTTGCCGTTTGTAAGAATGATCACCCCACTTCAAAGCAAAAGGAAAATATAAAATTACAAATAAGCTTTCACCACCGTTTAAATAGTTCTGTTTTTGCTCTAGCTTCTAAGTTTTTCTTAGTTCTCGTGAATTTGGGGGAGGGATAATAGCCTTAAAGGAGTTGATTCAGCTAATCCTTGTCTAATTATCCACTATGTTGTGACACAGGCAGGGCTGGGTCGCACTGGTTGCTTGATAGGAGCGTACCTCGTCAAGCATTATCGCATGACTGCCTTGGAGGCCATCTCTTGGCTGAGGATCTGCAGGCCTGGCTGTATCATCGGCTACCAGCAGTCGTGGCTGGAGGAGCTGGAGCCTTCTCTTTGGAACTGGGGTGATGCGTTCCGGTAAATATGTCTCCTTGCTATTTTAATATCCATGTTAAGATTAAGATCCATGATTTCTCAATCACATTGGACAGCCTTGTCCGGTAATTTGAAAGAAAGGAACTGTTTCCTACGGTCCCGGGATTAAATTCCTCCAATCAACAGCATTTAGATTATTGGCAATTTATTATATTACGCATATACCTAAGTGAAAATTCCAAAAAGATAGAATGGTTGAAGTCATTAAATTAAAATTCAGTGGAATTGTAGTTATGCTCAAGTAGTCCAGAGCCTACATAAACTGTATGTTCACATCAAGGCGTTCAGGTAAGGAGAACTATCTTTGTTTTGACTATCTCCACGCTAAGATATACGACGATTAACTTATTTTTTTATTTATTTTGGTCTTTGAAGTTATTGAATTAATCAAATAGGCCTATTATATTTTTAGGTTACAATACCACGGAGGTGCGAATCGCATCCCTCACCACAAGTTCGGCATCTACAGCCACCGCGCGAGCAAGAAACGTGGTGCTGAAACTGAACCAGAATATCTTCACGAAACGGAGCAAACTACGCCTATGGACGTTGACCACCGTAGCTGTATACACTCTGTGATATCCAACCTTCCCAAGACATTGACTAGCGAGTCGTTTGGAGAGACACAAGGGGACAAACTCAACTCCATCAAGAAATGGCGAGACATGCAGCACATAATGTCTCACAAGCCGAAAACAGTGAAAACTGTGAAAGCAGTGAAGTTGACGAAAAAATAAGGCGTCTCGTCGTGAAGATAACACATGTACTTATTGTCGAACAGGTTTATTAAATAATTGTTTGGACCAACCAAATCCTTTTAATATTTTATAACGTTGTTTGTCTTTTAAACTGGACTATATTAGCCTTGTGTCAAGCCAAAAAAATTGTCGCTCAGACAAGATGGGAGTTTTAACTACATTGATCTGATCTAATTGATTTAATAGTCAATTTAATTTAAAAAAATCAGTTTGAATTGTCTCACTAAAATGAACTAAAAGTAACTATCGTTCATCAATATAAAGAATATAAACCTTTGGGAGGATAGCTTTAGAAACACATAAAAATATGAAAAACTAAAAAAAAAACACCTGTGCAATGTAGGCCTAAATAATTTATTTTTACATTTTACAGGCTGAATAATCTCAAGAAATGTAGCAAGGGGGTGGAGTTTCTAAATATGAACTCTGTGTTGGTTTTCCTTACAGATTATGAAGTCTGATTAAGACTTGCTAATTACGGAGCAGTACACAGACGTCATACTTCGTATCTTACGTCTACCCTAAAAGTTAAACTTATCGGGATTTGGGATCTTTGATAAAAGAAGGGAGTATGTATTTATGTCCTGATTTAACAAATAAAGAGCTAGCTTTAATAAACAAATACTAGAAAATATATACATACAGCAAGATCTAAAGTCACACATATTCTGCTATGTTTTTACTTACGTCCCACCTCCACGTCCTAGGATGCTATGTTCTAGACCAGGACCATTTTAAACGTTGTTTCGGGCCACGATATTATCTCATTGGCTGTATTTGAACCTGAGACTTCGAGGACCGAAGCCCCGCGCCCTACCTTTACTTACTTCCCAAATTCTAAATAACTAAAAATATTTTATAGTAAGGAACAATGCAAATGAACATTTTTTGGGTTTTTGTTTACGCCAGTATGGCATTTTTCATTTGAATAGTTTAACAACAAGCTTATTGTAAGTGGCCTTTTAATAATTCTAGTTGGTTAAACCTTTTCTGTCGGTCGCTCAAACGATTGAAAGCAACAAGTAAATGATAGAAATGAACGACAAGATGGCGTGACCAGACTCCCAATGGTTGCTACACTTTATTGTTCTGCAGTATTGACTGTTATGTAGTTTAGGAGAATAAGTTAAGAACGGAAAGAGTAAGTGTATGTTTTAAAATATTAAATAAAAATTACTTGTAATCGCAATAATGTATGTGATCTATAAAATTATACATATCGCTAAAAGTAAACCTAATACCTAATGACAAACGCTAATACGTTAAGCTCTGTTATGCTTAACGAAGCGACGCTATATTCTTAGCTCTTGAAGCTATTTACGATTTAATTGTTTCAAAGCTGGTTGTGATATAAATCAAATAGCCTGATATTATAAGGTGACGTATATGGATTTTGCGTGCTAAAGTGTTAACATTAAAGGGTCGTGTGAAATCTCTATAATTAATTCGTGTTCGTGCCAATATGTAGATAAAAGGGAATAGTTTAATTAACTCTACTAGTTTAAATAACAAGTAATTTTACCGTACAACGGTTTTATGCACCGTATCGCAAATAATTATATTACGTAGTGTTGGAAAACGTCCGGATATTACATTACAGCAATAAACAATTCAGCCATACTACTAATAATCGCACTAAAAATTAATTTAGGAATATAAAATATGGAACTTTAACCAGAACTTGAAGGTAAAAGAGTTAGTAAAACGACGAACAAAAAACAGTGCTCACCAAACAATCTTTTAATGAGTTGAAAGAACGGTGTTGGTTTAGAGGGGTGGGGAGATTATACTTTTTATCAAGATTTTACTCTTACAGCAGCTTAATTTATTTGCTTTTCGATGGGGGTTTTTACCATCTTAAGACAGACTGATAATCTGTTTAGTTTTAACAAGTTTTATAGATTACACTATTGCACAAGTAGCTTGGTTATTGTTAAGTTCACAAGTGGTACCCGTCGCTATGATCCTTGCATAGCTTAATCAAGGTGAGTAGCTACTTTGAAAGAACCTTTGCAAGACGGTAATCAACAAAATTTAAATAGTTTCCTCACATTTCAATCTCAGCTTATCTGTTTTGTTTTGATCGCCAGTATAGTGCTCAACATGAATTATAATATTAAGTATAATATCAAATACAATTTAGCTGCATACGTTTTTTACCTTTGCAATCAAAATGCGAATCTTTAAGGATAAAAAGAATTTACCAGGCATAAACCATTAAGTTATATAAGTGACGTATAATATGGTATATTTTGTAGCTATTCTGAAGTAAAAGTCAATAACTGTAAGTCATTCAGTCAGATAAAAACAACAGAATCCTCAAAGGAGATTTTAAAAAGTATTTGACGAGTTTACGTTATAGAGATGGTTAACAAACAATACAGTGAAGAATGTTGTCAAGCATACTACAATAGTCACAGGGTTTTATCTGGGGATGGATACTGCGTGTTTGTCAAACGCAACAAAGCAAAAAGAGCTCACAAGGCATTTCAATAACAGCGACAGCGATCGAGCGTTCACACGAAAAGTGTCGTCTCTCAATTGTTGTTTGCATTTTCTAAAAGGGTTTACATTTTATGTGGAGAACACAACTGACAAAGGTTGGTGCTAGTGTAGGTAGGTGGTTTGTGTTGCTAGTCAAGGCTACTCAAGGTTAGTCAAGTAAACAACAAGTGTGTGCGTTTAACTCAAGATCAGCTATTTGAAGATATTTTTGACTATATATACAATACGATATGTTAACTGTATTTCAAAATACGAGTTAACTATTTTGATAGAATTATAAATTAATATAATGATATCCTCATTACTCCGAAAGGAATAAATCAGAAAGGCACTGCTCTGAAAGACATTTATGCGCAGAACCTTTATGGGCGTGGTCGTTCCCAAAACTTTGTAGGAGTAGCAGTACTTTGGCTGCATATTTTCCCGGATGTTGAGCACTGTCAGTCCTCGTATATTCTATTGGGGAAGGGCTTTAAAGCCACATTATTTTTTAGATTTCTTAGCAATGCCACTCTTCGCTATAATGGTATTCTTTTGCAAAGGCAGTTTTTTTGATAAATAATTACGTTAAAAGTATTCTTTGCTTTGTATATAAAGAAGCACATACAAACAAAATTTATTTTTAATTAAATACGTACTGAATTTACGCTAGAATCCTTTCTTGTAATAAATCATCTGGATTATATTAAAGTTTATCAAAGCTTATTATTACATTTCATAATTAATTTTAATCAAACTTTAAAAATATTATTTTTTACTTATACTTCAAACAGAAAAACCAATTATGTACACATGATTTAAGGAGCAAGTCTCTACAAGACCTTTATAATTGCATTAAATGAAAACAATAGAGACAATGAGTAAGATAACAGAGACCGGTTTACGTTTATGAACTTAACAATAGACTCCGAAACAGAGGAACAGTGAAGTCAGAAACACAAAAGATGAATATTGTTTATGCGGGAAAACTATCTGATTAAGTTCTAGACTCTCCACAATATTGGTTAATGGGTTACGTCATCCTTTCCATCTTGAATATTTTCAATGGAAGTTTTAACAATCCTAATAATCCATAGACACCTGAACCCCCTTCTTTTGGAATAATCGTCGACGTGTTTCAGTAGGGATTGGGAACTGAGAAGATATAACCAGGAAAAAATTAGAAAAAACTACTGTGTATAGTACTCACATATTTATCAAATTGTGTTTCCTATTTTTATTATTCAGTTTTGGGTTTATATAAAATATGCTAATCTATGATACATTTTAGTGTCGAAACTAATATTTTTCTTAATTCTTAATAACCAGCTGAAACTCCTGTCCCTTATTTAAATCCGACTATTCTTATGTTTATTTTATTTTTTTTATCAGAAGGCTAGTTTCTTTTCGTTCAGCAAAACGAAAAACCAATGAACCCCCAATACAAGGAATGTAACCACTAAAACTATTTCAAATTATTAAACTTATTTTATGCATCATCTAAGGTTAGGTTGTATATTTTCGAAGCAAATGTCACATTAAACTCTGCGATACGATGAAGTAAACACTCTTATTAACGTCTTTGATCTTACTTTTTAATCATTGCGCTCACAAACAGCGAAGTTGAAAGACACGAAGTTAGAAAATAATTGACCTTTGCGATATCACCAGCCAAGGTTGAAATATAAGTTCATTTCTACTAAGAGTTTTCATTTCTATTTTCAAGTTAAATTTGTAAAAAAAAATAGATTACATTTGGCAGCCGGGTTTTGAACAGCTGCCATTTTTACTTTCTATACATAGTACCTATATATGGAAAAAGTACGGTTTTCGTGAAAATTTTCGAGTTTGAGTTTTGAGTGCATATATCAGTTTAGGGTTCCCTGGACCCAATTTTGAAGTGGTGTCTGTGTGTGTGTCCTGAAAGATTGTCAACTTACTAACTCTCTATGGGCCGTCCCCCATAGGTGACATCTGATCACAATACAGTATACTGTACGCAGAAAAGTAGCTTACTACTGTATAACCAGTAATGATGTACCAAATTTGGTTGTGATATCTCTTTTCATTTCAAAGTCATAAAGTTGCCCTAAGACTTAATTGTCAACCCTATGTTGTTGATATATCTACCACTTTATTTTGCTTCTCTTATTAGCTAAAACAGTTTAAATGGTGCTAGCTCCTAAAAAATCTGATTGCTAGTTTCAAGGGTTATTTTTTTATGTTCTCTCAGCAAAAATTTCAAAATAATAGGGTCTTTATTTGCAATGTTTTTTTTAATTTCAGTAAAAGCTTAATGTGAACTATTGACTTGAAGTATGTTATCAGAATGAAACTAATGTTAAATTATGTTTGCCGAGAGATATACCAGTTTTATAAGATTGCTGAGGCTAAAGGTTATTCTGTGATGAGACCGCTATGTTTGCAGTAAAATATAAATACCCCCACTACAGCAAACCTGCAGACTAAGCGAATTTCCTTTTACCAGTATTGGATTTTAAATTAAATCTATTTAAATAATATTAGGCTTAACACTCCAGGTTAGTTTATTAGGTTTGCTGCTACAGGGA